CTTAAAAAGCAGAGACATCGCCTTGCAGACAAAGGTCCGCATAGCCAAAGCTATTGTTTTTCCAGTAGCAATATATGGGAGTGAGAGCTGGACCATAAAGAAAGCTGACCGCTGAAGAATTGATGGTTTTGAATTGTGGTGCTGGAGGAGACTCTTGAGAGTCCCCTGGACTGCAAGGAGAACAAACCTATACATTCTAAAGGAAATCAAGCCTGAATTCTCCCTTGAAGGACAGATCCTGACGCTCAGGCTCCAATACTTTGGCCATCTCATGAGAAGAAAAGATTACCTGCAAAAGACCCTGATGTTGGGAAAGTGTGAAGGCAAGAGGAGAAGGGGACAACAGAGGACAAGATGATTGGACAGTGTCACAGAAGCTACCAACATGAATTTGACCAAACTCTGGGAAGCAATGGAAGGCAGGAGGGACTGCCGTGCTCTGGTCCATGCGGTCACGAAGAGTTGGACACAACTTAATAACTAAAGAACAATAACTGCGTTGGATAGTATTCCAGTTTTGCTGAGCTTAAGGAAGTATAAGCATCAGTTGCATAAATTGGTCGATCTGATATTTCCATACTCTACACTTGATTTAACATATTGTTATTGTTTTTTATGCACAAATAGTTTTTTTAAACTCCAGAATATGTAATTAGATCTTTCAGAGACTGGCAAATTGAATAGTTTTCCAGTGAATCCTTTGAGATCCATTGCAAAACTCCATAGCTTTGCCTTGGAAGAATGGGGAAGCTAGGCAGTATTAAGGAGTGGGATGTTACATTTGAGATCCATTGCAAAACTCCATAGCTTTGCCTCGGAAGAATGGGGAAGCCAGGCAGTATTAAGGAGTGAGACGTTACATGATTGTTGTCTACAGTAAAGCTGTTTTGAAAAGATGTTGAACGTAATTTAGTATTGCAAAGTATCCTGCAATAATTTTTTTTTGTTGTTCTTGCAGTTAAATGGATTGGAGTAGGAAAATCGAGAGAGTCGATGATCCAGCTCTTCTGACTGTATTGAATAAATGGAGAAAAAGAAAACACACTCCTCAATGGACTGCTCACTCTTATATCTTTTATTCTTAGCCTGATGAGAGCTGAATTTTTGAAAGTTGGACCTTGAATGCAAAAGAACTAGAGATGGTCTGAAAAACAAATCTTCTGTCTAGAAAGACTTGGACAGCTATCAGTATCATTTCTTTTAACATTTCGCAGATTCCAGGGCACTTATCACTATTGCCAACATTTGTCATGGTGCCACCAACTTTTTTTCCCTTGAAATGTTTGTCCCAAAAGTTTTTCTTAAAATCTTAAATTGCATTTCTTTCATGGCCCATTTTATCTTTTTTGTTTCTCTGTTTTTGGTGATATTTCCTGAAAATATTAGATGCTTAAAATAACTAATGCAGTTTTTGCACAGAGAATTTTTCATCCTCATTTGTACTTCTAAAGCTGTTTTTCCCTGTATGGCTGCTGATGTAGTTTGTGATCTAAAAGAGAATGATTTTTTAATGATGAAAAAAATCCTACACTTTTGTTACAGTTTTTATTAAAACTATGGTGATGAGCTGGTAGTTTGGAAGGGATGTTTAATATGTATACAGTTCAACAACATAATTTATAAATGAAAATACTGAAAACATTACAGGTGTGTCTTATACTCAGTACTGGACAAAGTACCTTAACAAAGTTTCATTGTTGTTATACTACTTTTATGCTGTTTTTCCGCCTTCTTTCCAATGATCCCTCAGTTCTTACCAAAGTCATCCAAAGGTACTGAGAGGATGACCAAATAAGAGATGCATAGATGTTGCATAGTTTTGCTCCTTGGACATGAATGCATCAACTTGGGTTATGGTTACTGTGTTCATTAACATAAGTGAACAGTCATTGAAGACAGCATTTACAGTAAATTGGTTTCTAAAAACCTGAAATCACCTTAAGAAAAACCTAAGAAATTAAGTTCTACATCTCACGTTTCTGTTTTACACAGTTACTTCTTTTCATTGCATTGCATGCTTGTTAATTTGACTAATTTATCTTACATCTGATTATTGCATTATATTTAACTTGATCTGCCATTAGCTCTCAGTTTTTACTTTGTAAACTGAAGGTTGACCCTTCACTTTATATTCTGTAAGAAGGATGGGCAAGATCTGAGGACAACACCCCTGCGCAAGCGCGACATGCCCACTGTGCACATCGGGGGCAGAGATCCATCTCCGTGGCCCAGTTCCGGCAAGGCCACGGACCAGCACCAGGCTACGGACCAGGGGTTGGGGACCCATGTTAACTGGTATACATTACACTCATTCAGGTGCCTATGCCTCTTGCCACATGAGCTGTACCATGTAAAATCAACCATTCTTGGGGATCCTGAGAAACCTTCTGGAGGCAGCAGAAATGCTCACATGGAGTCCATGGGCCACATTTTGACCATCTCATTCTGCAAAACCGCATTTATGCCTCTGTTTATTTCAGAGTGTTAAAAGTATTGGTCAGAAATGTGCACCATACTCAGTGTGTTTATAACTTTATTGACATTTTTATTTTTATTTATTAAAAATAATTTATCCACCTTTCTCCTAAAAAAGAGGTTATTAGCTAAACGATTTTTTGCTCAGTTGTACACTGTTCCTATCTACAAGTGCCCCTCACAGCCCAGCCCCCTTGGAATTCTACAGTTTTCTAGTCTTGCTGAGGTCTGTAATATTTGAAATCACACTCCATACAGTATATTTTGGTTTGATGTTTTTTTGTTTTTGTTTTTTTTCCAATTCTAGAAAATATATCTAGGAACTTGAATCTTAGAGAAAGAGAATTGGGATTTTGATGGAAAGTTGGAAACAGGGAGAAGAACTTAGAAATATTTTTCTATGAAAATACCACCCTTGCTTTCTGGGAAAGTTAGCATTAAGTTGCCAATTGGTATTAATACTACATTCTTCAACTGGTAGCCATCTAGTCATTCTATGCTTTAATCTTGGTATATTTAAAACATCAGTTTAATATATTAGTTAACATTTCTTTTCTTTTTTACAAGGAATTTTTTAAAAATACAGAGGAAAAAATGGGGAAAAACACAACTATACAAGATTGCTAAGGTAAAAGAAACTCACTAATTATAGTTGATTACAAAGATGCTTGTGACACAATTACACTTGCTAAGTATTGAGTCTGAATGTTTAAATTATGCAGCTAAATCATAATGTAAAAAATTGCATCTTATTCATTCAGAATGTGATCAGAATCTTGAACGGCATACACACAAGAAAAATAAATACCCTGGTGCCAAAATATATCTTTAAAAATTAGAATTCCTTGTGCTTGCTGAATTTGTACACAATCATTTATCAATCTGCTGTGGGTCAGACAGTAATGTGAAAGATTTTCTGTTATGTACTATACATAACTTCTGTATATATTTGTGTAAGAAGTTATTTGTTGTACGAATCCTTGATTGGCTTGTCCAGTGTTAGCTAAGAGTTTGTAATAATCATGGGTCAGACCCAGAATTGTGCAACACCAATCTACTCGTGTTGTGGAGCCTTCTTGCCTCTCCTCCTTATTAGCTTCCTGTGCTGCCTGAAAACCCGTTGTTAGGTCTTCCCAAGCCCTTAAGAATGTGTTGCCTTCATTTTTTCCAAGGTCTGCTACATCCCAAAATTGGCCTCTCATGTGAACCAAAAATTAATATACTGAGTTGTATTTGTTACTAAATATGCTGCTTCCTTCCTAATATTTTTAGCTGAAACAGTCCTTACTCAGTGCTCTTGCAGCTCGCCAATAGGTATATTTTCCCCTCTTTTTTGGTTGCCTTTTTTTTATCACAGACGTTCATTGCCTTGATTGATATCAGGTGATTGTGTCCTGTTGTGCCAAATCTCAGTTTTTGACTACTGAAAATTAAAAGCAAAATCCCGTATCAAGTCATAAAACATTCTTTTTTTTTAAAAAAAAAAGGCTTTGGTAAGAAATAGTTCTAAAATTCTGCCCAATCAGATTTTTTACTCAGTTAGCACTGAAGCATTTTTAAGATCTGCACCTCTCCTAGGTTTATTTTAAACATAGAATACAAACAACAAAAGTTGTTTTTCTTATTTCAGTTCTTTCCGTTTTCTGCTTTGTTTTCTCTTTGCCAATTAAATATTATCCATTCTTAGGAGTATATTGTTTTGATTGTATGCATAGCACAGAATGAATCAGGCTCCTGTATGCCATTTTCCAGGAAACAACAAGAAGAAAGGACTGTTGCTCACACATCACTTGTGGATTTTGCATAGGCTTCAGGTGGGCCACTATGGAAGACAGGATGGTGAATTGGATAGGTCCTTGACCTGACCCAGTGGGGTTTTTCTTGTCTACTTAATTGGTGACATTAGTAGTTCTTTAGTATTTCTGTGTCAGGTAGTTTTTTGCTTGTTTGTAGCGTTCTATGCAGTGATGTACTCCTATGTATTTACCTAACAATAAAGAGGTTTTTTTCTTACTTTGCACTACACAAATATAAACTATATATGTGGTCCCATTGAATCCTTTTGAGATTTCTCAACAGCTGTTTCTCTGCCTGAGGACAATGGAATGGTGTCAAAGAGCTAAAAGTCCTTAGCTTTTTCCTTTTCCTTAAGGTTGCCTTTGTGTCACTTCTTTTAGGGAAGAATTTAGAGTAATAGTAATAATGCAAAACAGGGAGAAAGAGCTCTCCAGGTCTTCAGCAGTAAACAACTCTGGGGAAAAAGGAGGGGATTCATGGAGTTATACTGGACAATTTTTCTGCCCTTTTGTGCAGCAGCAACAGCACAAGATAGGAGTGGCCCTGGTGCAATGGGAGAATCCCATTATTTTTTCATGTGGATCAGATAAATGACAAAAAAATTCTTTTTTTTTTTCATTTTTTGTTTGACATTAAGCAGTATTCTGGAGATACCCGAATTGAGCATTGGCCCTTAAAACCCACCTGATGATGTAAACAGAGGGCAGATGTGAAATAATTAAGAACTGTTCTACCACGTCACATTCCAGAAAGTGTATGACCATTTCATTTTACTCATAGATGACTCATTTCTTTTGGAATTTGTTAATTTTGGGTTAGAAATGGGACTACATTTTCACATTGCTTTGTTACATTGATAGAGATTTTGTCGTTGATTCTTTTCTCCAAATGAAGGTATAATAATGCAGTCTCCTTTCCCCGTACTTCTTGGGAAGTTAGCACTAAATTCTTTTTTATTGTTGGGTTCGTACAGGTTCTTTCCATCCTTCAATTCATAAGTACACATCTACCCACTTGTTGGATTAAGAGTTCAAAAACAGATGCAAAGTTGCCAGTGTGTACTTAATTGTGTCTGTACTGCACTGCACCACAAAAGAGAAACAGTGGTAATAATAAAAATAATACCTGGAAAATTAGTTCACTTTGGCAGCATATTGTCAGACTTCTACACAAACATGAATAAAATTAAATATTACCAGTGACGTTTCTAACAGTTGCAAAATGTGTGCATGTATACTCCATATAGGATGAAAGAGAGGTGGAAAGAAACTTCTTGGAAAAGCAGAATCACAGCATGGAAAAATTAGTATTTTTAGATTGTTAACTCCCAGAATCCTTTAATGGCCATACTTCCCTGAGGTTTCTAAGCTTTGTCCAGAAAGTAGCTTTTCTAAGCTTTGAGCAGAACCATATAATAATAAATTAGAATTAAAGATGGTAATTTCTAGATTCAGTAACAGCTTTTACTCTTGTGTCTGTGTCAGACAAATAAACTCATTGCTGGTTGTTGTGGGTTTTTCGGGCTTCTTGGCTGTGTTCTGAAAGTGGTTTTTCCTAACGTTTCGCCAGTCTCTGTGGCCGGCATCTTCAGAGGACAACAAACTGTCCTGCTGTCCTCTGAAGATGCCGGCAACAGAGACTGGCGAAACATTAGGAAAAACCACTTTCAGAACACGGCCAAGAAGCCTGAAAAACCCACAACAACCATTAGATCCCGGCTGTGAAAGCCTTCATGAATACAAACTCAATGCTTCTTTCTTTTCTGTAAGACTACAACAGTGGCTGATCTCTGTGTATGAACAGCTGCACCACAACTACGTACATATTTATTATGACCTAAACTCCATTGTTAGTTCCAACTAGAGTAGATCCACTGAGTGAATGAAATTAAGTCAACACTATATGGGACTAATAGTTGGGTTTAGCTCTTCATTACCTTCATTTACAGTTTCCATGTACTTATAAATTTACAGTGGTGCCCTGCAAGATGATGTTAATTCATGCCATTGAAATTGCTGTCTTGTGGGGAAATCGTTGTCGTCCAGCAAAAATCATAATGCGTTCCAATGGGGGGAAATCGTTGTTGTCCAGCAAAAATCGCCACTTTGCGAAGCGCCGATCAGCTGTTTTAAATCGCTGTCTTGCGAAAAACGGGCCCGAAAACACCCGTTTTGCGAAGATAGCCCCTAGGGAAGCCATTTTGCAAAGCCGACAATCAGCTGTAAAAATCGTCTTGCGAAAAAACGGTCTGTGAAGCGCGGCCCAAATCGTTGTCCAGCGAAATTCCCCCATAGGAATCACTGTTTTGTGAAGCAAAATGGTGGTCACAAAACCTCGTCATCATGCGGATTCGTCATTTTGAGGGGTAATCGTCTTGCGAGGTACCACTGTATATTGATACCCAGTGTACGTAGTGGGTAAAGTGACAGGATAGAATGCAGGAGACTTGGGTTTGAATACCTGATGGGTCATGGAAATTTACTTGAAGACATAGAATTGGTAAAACCACTCCTTAAATATCACACTGACCTTGAAAGCCCTGGTTCTCTAAGTTTGGACTTGATGGGATATAATAGAACTACTTTGTACAGTTCTTCGTAAAACCACTCCGAAGTTTAGAAGGATTCTGAGTCATACAGATTGCACTTGAAATTACCATATCATCCTTATATTATTAGTAGCAATCCTTTCTCTTTTTGACAGAAGCAGTATTGAAAGGTTCTTCCGTGCTGTTGTTTGTTATTTTTAATCCAGGTGAAAGAACTGATCAGACTCCCATAAATGAAGGTTTAAAATTGTGCCTCTTGGTCGAAATACTTTTCCAAACTGACAGTGATTCAGCCTCAGTTCTTGGGTGATAGCCATTCTTAGAACTGTCTGTAATATTAAAAGAAGAAAGAAAGAATTCAGCCCTTTCTGCTTGAAAACAAACAAATTCAAAAGTTGGCAACATTGTGCAGAACTTCAGTGTTCGCATTGTATAAAACGGGATAAACAAGCCTATATCAAATTCTTCGAATACAAATCTATCAGCAACATATTTTTCATTCTGTCTTCTGAATGATCTGTGGATCACTGTTTTTTAAATTACCATGTTTCCCCGAAAATAAGATAGGGTCTTATACTAATTTTTGCTCCAAAAAGCGTAAATTTATACCACGCCCAGAGTAGACCTGGTCTAGAGGGGTGGGTTATAAATCTAATTAAAGTAAAAGTAAAGTAAAAAGTAAGTAAAGTATTAGGGTTTGTTTTCAGAGGATGTTTTTTCATATACAACAATCTGCATTTATTCAAATACACTCATGTCATCATCTGCTGCACAATGATGGAGGGCGAAGTTACACTTAACTGGGGCTTATTTTTGGGAAAGGGCTTACATTATGAGCATTCTGAAAAAATCATACTAGGGCTTATTTTCAGGTTAGGTCTTATTGTCAGGGAAACAGGCTGTTAGTGCTGTTAGTTCTGCTTTATTTTTCCACTTTATCTTAGTTTTTGCCTCATCCTAATGCCCCTTTTAATTGATGTTTCCTCTCTTGACTGACTATTCTGAACTGACAAATCATTCCTGAATCTCAGCCAGATTGTGAAGAAGAGCTACAGAATTTGGACTCAAAGACTCTGCTGATCCAAGCCTGGGAACAGTTTTGTCAAGCAGTAGCATAAGAAAGGAACTTTTAACCGAGTAATCTATCATGTCAATGTCTAATAAGAACTCAGTTATTTTCATTTTATTATTTGACAAATCTCATTGGCTGACACACAAACAGTGCCATTTATTTTTTGCCTGCTCTGTTGATGCTGATAGAAAAGAGATCATGTGCCTTACAGGACTACTAGCTTGAGAAACAAGTTTTAAGCATTACACTCATGCTGGTAGGGTGATGGAAAACTTCATGCAAACATAGTCTGAGAAGAGGGTTTAAGAGTTTTTCGTTCATTTGTTCCATGTGCGTGTGTGTGTGTGTGTGTTTTAATAGAGATAATTCTGAGGGGAAAAGTCTCAAAAGCCAGAGCAGGAATTCTCTGATAACAGACTGCTAATCCATGAACTAATAGTTTTACCTAATTGGTGAAGTTTGCAAGGTTGGAAAAGTAATTCAAACTACTTTTCACTGTATAATCTTGAAATGTAAAAAGAACTTTTTAAAAAAATAAATACCATTTTAGATTTTAGGTCAGCTATGTGCGGTGCTGCTGTTGAACTAGGTTTTTGTACTTTTTTGCATTTACTGTTGTCAGCTGTCCATGAAAAATGGTGTCACTGGTTCTGTTTCAGGTTATGATGTAGTGTGCATCAATATCAGATTTTAAAAAATCTAGATATTAAATGGAGAATGTACATGAACTGGAATTAAAATTATTCTGCCAACCACCTTCTGCATCAGTCCTTCAGAATATTCTATAGTACTGTCAAGATATTGTAATTTTATAGGCCTGAACAGTTATTGAATGTAACATTAATGAGCTGCCATAATGAACAGCTGTGTGACTGCTGAGTCACTGTGACAAAGGAGAAGATGATGAAATGCCTGGAGAAGAGGTGACACCCACATGGAGGAAGATGATGCAATACTTCCAGTGATTGGATAGAAGGAACAGTGTAACTGTATATAAGTGAACAGTGTGGACATTAATGTATCTTCTTTCCTATGCTACTATCCTCTATGGCACTGGTTCTTAACCTTGGGTTACTCAGGAGTTTTGGACTGCAACTCCCAGAACCCTTCACCACCAACTGTGCTGGCTGGGGTTTCTGGGAGGTGCAGTTCAAAAACATCCGAGTAACAAAGGTTAAGAACCACTGCTCTATGGCATGCCACTTTGCCTATATTTTTGCCTGCTATGCCGAAGGTCTGCCAGTTTGTATACAGTGGTGCCTCGCATAGCAAGGTTAATCCGTTTCGGATTAACCTTCGCTATAGCGAAACATCGCTGAACGGGACAGGGAAAGCCATTGGAACGCATTAAACATTGTTTAATGCGTTCCAATAGGCTCCTTTACTCACCGTTCAGCGAAGTTTCCTATGGCCGGCAGCTATTTTCGCGCCCTCGGTAAGCGAGGGGAGGGCGTGAAAACGCTGTGCGTGGCCATTTTGGGGCTTCCGGCGGCCATTTTGTCCGCCGAACAGCTGATCGTCAGGGCTTCATTTTGCGAAGATCGGTAAGCGAAACGCTTACCGATCTTCGCAAAGCGAGTTTCGCCCTATCTAAAAGTCGTTGAGCGATCGCATTAGCGATCCCAAAAAAGGGATCGCTATGCGATTTCGTCATTGTACGGTGCACTCGTTAAGCGAGGCACCACTGTATTTGTATATTTGTTAATACACGTGTCTGTTTGTACAGAAGAAGAGCGCGTGTGTGTTTCTTCAATCAGATAACTCTGCACATTACAGCGCGAAGCTGACAAGTACTTTGCTATGTTGATATTCAATTAATATTGAAAGCTTCCATTTGCCTTTTAAAAATTGTGAGAGGTACATAAAAGTCAATAGGTAAATCAGTGCATAACATTATTTTTTGAACTAGGGGGTGTTTTTTTTAAAAACAAAACATGTTGATTGTATGCTTTAGCTAGCTATCAATTTACTTACCAGACTTGTAAAATGGTAATGTGAATGCTTCTCTGTATGTGGTTTGTGTGTACCAGTCAAGGACTCTCTTCTTTGTCTTTTGGTAGTAGATATACTGCTTCAGAATTAAATTGTCAAATGTATGGTGAGGTGCAAGTTCATCTTTTACTGGAATTGGCTGCAGCTTTGTAAAATATCTAGATAAAAAACATAAATAGCTAAGTAATCTCTTGTTGACATCTGGTCTGATAAAACATAAGCTACCAGTAAGTACAGCAAACTACCTAAATGCTTATTCTAATATCCTGTTCAAACAGGCTGTTCAGTTTTAATCCTGATGCAATCTAATAGGTATTAAAACCATGATGCCTTATACTGAGATTTTCATAATAAACTATTATAATTCACTTGACCCAATGAAATTATTAAAATATTGCCAGTGAAACTATATAAGTGTCAGCTAGTCAATGTAAACTGCATCAATTCTGCTGTGGAAGCTTACTGCCGCATAAAATAAATAACTTGTTAATAGCGAAACATTTGTTTTGCATTAAAAAAGCTCTGCATGTGGTTTTTGGGAATAATTTTTAAAAATATCTGTGCCAAGTACACAGTTTCAATTTTTTGCACCTGAGGGATAAGGTATTGTGTTTGTTTAACACTGTGTATGTGTGTGTGTGTGTGTGTGTGTGTGTTTAAAATAGAGTGTAATGTTAAAGCCAAGGGATCAGTCATTTTTGAAGCAGTCTACTGACTTCTATGTATGTAAGTGTAGGTTCTGTATATCAGTGCCAGTTTGTGTCATGGGTAAAGTCAATCCTGGTGCTTATTTTCAAGCAGTTTCATAATGTGGTTTTCTCACTCTTGCACTGGCTTGAGCCAAGAATCTTTAAGAAACCACTTAGATGGTACTCCTGCTGTCAATATGTATATCCTCCCATGGTTCCTAAACTTGGGTTATAGACATTCATGGGCAAGAGCTCCCGGAAGCCATAGTTCACATTGCTTACTGTTCAAGACTTTTGGGAGTTCTAGTCTGAAAACATCTGGACCCCCAAATTTGTGATTTGTATTGGAGAACGGTACTTGTCTATCTAAGGATATCTGCATTACTACATTTCTATGGTTTCTGTCATTTTTAGTTCTTTTTTTTTTTTTTTTGTAAAACTGAAAATACTATGCAAACTTGATTTTCCTCTATTTTTTCTCTAATTTTTCCATGCTGTGCTTAGGACATAATGGTTTCTAGTGTGCAAATATTAGACATCCTGAGTTCTTTTCATGAGAGAATTTTAATGAAAATTCAGCCTTGCTGAAAGTGATATTATTAAGAACTTTTTAAAAATTTTGGAAATTAAAGGAATGAATGGAGTGCAGGAGAGACTGAAGGAAACTTCCTCCTGCCTGCCGCTGTGATTTGCTACATTAAAGTTGAAAAGGGCCATATGCAGAATGTTCTAGGTATATGTTTGTTGCTGACAATTAGTATTAATCAGTTAAAACACCTGAGGGATGAAGAGCTGAACAGTACAAAATGTTTTCTTACCTTGGCTTCCCTTCAGGAGCATATGCAATATGAAGACGTGCCAGCTGCCCTGGATAGTAACCAAGAACATCCTTTCCTTGATGATGGATAATTCTAGTAACAAAATGCATCTGGATTTTATTTTTCAAGTACTGTTTATGAAATTAACAGAAAACATTCTGGCTATTCTTTCCAAGTATATTTTTAACATGTGGTTTCCCCCCCCTTTTTAAAAAAAGTCAGAAGTTGCATTAATTTTGGTAGATCTAAAACAATGTAGAAATATTGGAAGGAGCAACTGCAGAACTATAGATAGCTATTCCTAGTTTACACATAAGGTCCAAGGCTGATTGTGTGTCACATTTTGGAATACCCTACAGCATTGTATTGAATATTAGCCTATTCATTTCTGTCATAAAATATGTGAAGTCACTATTTGTGTATGAGCTGGCAAGGAATGTATGTTTTCCAGTTTGTGTGACTGTAGCCGAAATGGGTGCACTTGTTTTAGTTTGATTTGTTATAAGCAGACTTGCATGCTGTGAATTCAGTAGAAGGGTGAGACAATAAGCTGTCTGAAAAACTATTAATATTATATACTAGAAGATGTAAGATGGTTGGAAAGCATCACAGATACATACTACCACAACAGTGCTAATTATGTTATCGGGCTATGTCTGCTTATTTTATGTGTTTATCAAGGAAGTGTACAAAAGCTCTGTTTTGCAACTGCAGTGACAACCTAATTATGATAAATGTTGCTTTTCCCTCCTTAGCACCAACTATGTGCATAAATGCGCTTATGTACATGTGATCAAAATAATATCACTTTCTTTCTCTGTTTAGCCCTAATCTCCTTTCTTGCTCTTTTGTAAAATTCAGCTTGTAAATTCTTCAATCTAGGGACTAGCCCTCTTGTACTCTGTAAAGTGTGGCATATGTTGATGTACTATATTTTTGAAAAAGCATTATGAAAAACCAAATCATGGACATGTTTACTCAGAATTAAGTGTGCTTTTTATCCCAGTTCAGTATGATTAGATCTGCAGCCTACAAGTCTTACAAATGTTCAATGATCGTTGGCATCTCTATTTCACACATTTGTTGTATTCTGACAAAAGGGTGGATCCTGCTGCTTTTATGCCAGTATGTGAGTATTCACTGAACAAAATCCTACTTCAAAATATCCTGCTGATTAAAAGAGGAGGAATGATCTTCACTGATCTCCCCTCCCTCTGCAGTCACCAGCACCATCTTCCATGCTGTTCCAGGGGTTTCTCGCAACTCTCCAAAGCAGATGGGGGGGGAGGGAGGCACAAGGGACTGTAGCCTGAGGGGAGAGTGATGAAGATTGCTTCCTCCATTCTGCCAGGAGGATTTCTTTGCTGGATCAAACACATCTCACGCATGGAAGAAGCCATCTGTCCACAGAAAGCAGATTATGGATCCAACTCTCTTATGTTCATCAAAATATTATAGAAAACCAAGAGTCCTTAGAACTATATAGGGCAATTGCAGTTTTATCAAAAGCCCCTTGTAGCTGCAGTCTTCTGGATACTCAATGGAAGGTAAAATTTTATTTACATCAATATATTAGGCTTCCTTTTCATTGCTGGATGTTTATTTGGATGATTATCAAAATAATTGAATTACATGTATACAAATATGCAAAAGACTATAATTGAGGTTTGTTATATTGTCTGCATTGAATGTCCTTATTTGGAATCATCATCATCCTGCACTGTAAGGTCAATTCCAACTTATGGCGACCCTTTTCAATATTTTCCAGGTAGAGAATACTCCAAAGTGGTTTTACCATTACCTTCTTCTGGGGGTGCCCTGGGACTGTCCAGTTTGCACATGGCCATACAGGCTGCCTTTACTTGTAGAACGTACAGAGAATCAAACTCCTAACCTTTGGCTCTGCAGCCAAATAACAAAATCAATGTCTTACAGAATCTGAACCTGGATGATTGAATCCTGAACCAACTCTTGAGAACTATTCTTAGTTTCTCATACTTTACCCTGGAGGGATTTCTGGGGCTGGATCTACAAACTGCCGTAATCTTACTGCTGTAGCATGTCCTGCCATAAGAACTGGAAAAATCACAGAATGATATACTTCTTATTAATAAATCACATAAAATCACTGTTACAATTAGCATACATATTGAAGTTTAAGTAATATTTAAAAGGGCGAATGAATATGCAACATTAAAATCAAATAATTAATATGTCATTAGCTCTGCAGTTCCCCTCTCCTGAGACTTCACTTCTAAAATTGTACTGTACATATATTAGAAACTATATAGGTAGGCAGGCTTGATACTGAGTTTTGTACATATATATTTATATATAAACACAGCATTAAATTAAAGTGATTATAGCTGCTATTTATCTCTCATATAGATATGTATACAAAAATATATTTGTGAGCATGATACAAATAGATAAATTGACTTCATGTATACATAGACATTTTATATAACTGACTCTCAAAATTGTACTTTTTATCAAACTAGTTACAGGAGACAATTACAGAAGTTTCAGATTTGTGTTTTGTGGCCACAACCCAAAACCAAACAGTTTAGTTTTTTATAAATCTTTCTGGCAACTGCCAAATCCTGGCTGACTATTCTTATATTGTACGAGCAACTGATGAATCTTACTTTTGTGCTAGATAGTATGTATTTGTACAGTAATCTGCCAGTTTTGTAACAATGGTGGGCCCATGCAACATATTCTTGAACCCTCTTGACCCTCCCTAGGAGTGCTACAAAACTTTAAAGATCTCCAGGGGAAAAATCAGACATCTTTGTTCATCACTGCTGGCTTTTCTTTCAGAAAAGGTTTAACTCCAGAATGAAACCAAACAGTTGCAGGAAATCTTATCAAAAGCCATCAGAGTTTCAAATTATAGGTCTTCTCATTGTTTCAATAGTTCCAGACAACAATAGCTTTTCTAATTCCACAAGCTTTATTGCTTCTATGCTCCATATACACAAAATATATCAGAATTGCGGAAGTACAAAAATCTTACAGCTGTAAAGAAAACTAGACCCAAATGCTTAAAAATACAGTGGTACCTCGCTAAACAGTTACACCGCATGACAGTTTTTTCACTAGACATTGACTTTGCGATAGCTATAGTGATTCGCAAAACAGTGATTCCTATGGTGAAATTTTGCTGGACAATGTTTGGTCCCTGCTTCGCAAACTGATTTTCGCTAGACGACGATTTTCACAGCTCCCTCCGTGCTCGCAAAACGGGTGTTTTCAGGACCTAAGCTTCGCAAGACAGCTATTTAAACAGCTGATTGGCGGTTCACAAAGCGGCTTTCCTATTGCCGATCTTCGCTAGACAACGACGATTCTTCCCTATTGGAATGCATTAAATAGATTTCAATGCATTCCAATGGGAAAATGCTTTTCGCTAGATGATGATTTCACTAAACTGCAATTTCAGTGGAACGGATTATCATTGTCTAGCAAGGCACCACTGTACTTCTTTGCAACTTGAAAAAAGATGCAGGTGTTAAAACTTAAGTTGTGGGCAGAACGTAAGTCATGTCTGAATCCAAGATAAAATGATAAAATATCAGAATGATAAAATATCAGAAATGTTTTAAGTTGTGTTCTAAAAATGAAAGAGCTTCTGCCCTAAAAAGGGGCACAGAAAAACAAAATACAGAGATTATATCTCTTAGAATATCAAAGATGTTAAAAGTAATAATATACTAAGTAAAATGCATTACTTAGCCTCTAATCATGTAAAACACACAATATATAATACATTTTCTAAATGCTAACCCATCTCACAGTTAAAATCTATGATGGAACATCCAGGTTCATTGTTATTGCTAGCATCTGGAAATGAAGCCTGCTGCTGCACTGCTACATGATTGTTGTTATTTGATGTCTGGTGCCTGGTGTGATGAATAGAGGGATGAATGTATTCTATCTCCCCATATTTATAAGCTGTTTTCACTTCCCCATATCTGTAAACAAACTTGATCTGCAGTGTCTGTACATTCTAGGATCCCAGAGGTCCACCAATTTTTTTCAATAGAAAATTCTATTCCCACAGATTTTATGTCTCTATGAGTCTGCAAGTTCATATTTGACTAACTGCCGTTGTTGTGGTTTGCATCATTGCTTTTACTATTGATTTTGCAAATTCTAGAACTCTAGTAATATCTAATTACAAGTCCATAGACCAGTGGATGCTAATCTTGGGTTCCCAGATGTTCTTGGACTAAAACTCCCAGAAGCCTTCACCACTAACTGTACTGGCCAGGATTGCGAGGACTTATAGTCCAAGATAGAGATGGGAGCATTTGTATATGAATATGAATACCCCACACAGATGGAGATAACGACGGTCTACGCCCCCAGGGCCAGACTGTCCACTCACCCTTCTGCTGCTGCTGCGGGTTCCTCACTTCCTTCCAATCGCTCCAGAGTGCCTGGTCTGCGAGCCACTCTTTGACCTGGTAGGGAGGCTCATTGGCCTGCCTCCTGACAGAAGTGGCTAGCCGACCACGAGCTCTGGAGCAATAGGAAAACAGCAGCAGCAGAAACCCTCATTATCTCTGCCTGTGCAGGGGTATTCATATACGAATAACCCCATGTCTAATCCAAGAACATTTGGAACCACTGCCTTAGACCTAAGGCCTAATTGATTAAGAGTTCAGGATGCTAGACTTGCAAAATTAGACTACTATGATCCCCAGTATGGTGTACTATATGACCTTGAAACACTTTTTCATAGGAACAGCATATTTTCATCAAAAACAGTTCTACTCATTACAACATCCAGCCTTCATTTTACTTCCATGCTAACTAGCAGCCATGAATTAAATTATTCAAAGCAGTGTTATCATATTATGACCTTGTTCCCAGACTTGTTGGAAAAGCAGCCAGTTCTTTTGACTATAAATTATTTTCCAAGCCTCACTTTTGAACGTGCTTTCATTTTCAGGACAACTTTTTCTGCAGGGCAACCTTTAATCATTTTTTAACATTCTAGGCACAAATTTTCAAGTTTTTGCATGCATGGGGCTTTAGCTTTGTGTTGAACAGCACTCTTTAATTTTACCTGGCAAAATTATTTTTGAAATAAAGGAATGTTTTAAAAAGAATTTATAATTTGTTTTGTTTTTCAGCTGTTTGGGGTTTGGAGAAACTGGTCTGAAGCCCTGAATTTCACCTCTGAATCCCTGCCTTTTCCAAATAATGCCCCACTGTCTTCTTGGAAATCACCTGAATTATTGTTTATCCTTGTACTGTGTTGATGTTTCTATGCCACTTATATTTTATTTCATTGGCAACAAATTTTCAGCTAAACATTGAGTCATGACATGGTTTGTTCAAATATTGACTTGCCAACATTTGGAAAATATGATTATGTTGCCTTTTGACCACAGTGTTGAATTATGTTTTGGCCACTCCATAGCAACATCCCTGCAAGCGTTTAAAGCTTACAGTGAGGTGAGTCAGAGGCTGAACTGTAGAAAACTAGGTTATCTGGTCTAAGTAAGTAAAAGCTTTTGTCTATGTTATAGTAAATAAGAAATGCACACAGTTTTGCTTTGCTTATAGTATTGATGTAACTTCAAATAATCAACGTTCTGTGGACAGTTTATATTTAAAACCATTGCTGTTCTGTACTGGATGATGTTTTTCAAGAAGATCGTGCCAGCTGAAAATCAAAACACACCCGGCCCTGTTAACAGAACACCAAGTTAACAGCTAGGCCATGTTAACTGTTTTGTGGAGCGCAGCCATGGTGCAGAGTATTTTCAAGTCTTGCTATTTTAGTCAAACTTGGAACATGCAGAATGGTGTTTAAATGTGACAACACACAGACACACAGTGTGAGCTGTTGAAAGCTGCTGTTATATTTATAAACATTGTCACATTCTTATCAGTCAGTTAGGCTCAACTGTTGCCTTTATGATTGTCAATAATGCCATCAGAATGTTCTGTTTTCTCTTTATGCTACAGTTCAGGATTTCTGATTTAGCTTTTACCCTTTTCTTGTAAGTTACAGAATTGCTCATTGAACATTCTATTGTATTATTACAGTTTTAACTAGAGGAGGCCCACCAATGTGGTCAAGAGGCAATTTAGTCAGTGGGTGAGTCAACTTCTCTATAAGTTCCATTGATTCAAAGTGCGGCCTCTAGTTGCAACTTAGTACTAGATTTCAGCCATTTACATGCAATTTTGGGCACTGCTGTACAAAATAGGATCTATACCACTTATATATGGGTATTGGTTGTTGTGGGTTTTTCAGGCTCTTTCGCCGTGTTCTGAAGGTTGTTCTTCCTAACGTTTCGCCAGTCTCTGTGGCCGGCATCTTCAGAGGACAGCACTTTGTGCTCAGAGCACGGAGTGCTGTCCTCTGAAGATGCCGGCCACAGAGACTGGCGAAATGTTAGGAAGAACAAACTTCAGAACACGACCAAAGAGCCCGAAAAACCCACAACAACCATTAGATCCCGGCTGTGAAAGCCTTCACGAATATATATATGGGTATTTAGACACCAAGACCATGTATTTCAAACTGGAGATTTTGCCCAAATGCTCAGTGCACTCTAGGCTTCCATGAGCACAAATTGTGCTCTTATTGAAAATACAAAACCTGGAGAAGATAATTATTTGCTCCATTGAGACATAGGGTGATAATTTACTGAACCCATGCCATTGAGCTTTTATTAAACAGAGTGGGAGATAGAGGAACCTCCTCTCCCTGCATGGCTCTATGTCAGCTCCAGTGGATTGGGAGCACCCTCAAAAGCAGGGTTGGAGAGGTGCAAGGAAAATGAGTGGAAAGCTCTTCTGCATGAATGATGCTTCATCCAATGTTGCATTTCATACTAATTTTTTTAACAAGGTCACTCCAATGGTTGTACTCATAATTGTATAGAACTGTTAGGAGTGTTAAATGCTGATGCATACGAGCTCTTTTACACTTAGTGTCAGAAATATGTAATTTTTTAAAGGAGAGATTGGTTGTGGTATATATTCATTAAAGAGACTAGGTAAAAGCCAGAATGAAATGGACTAGAACAGGCTCTTGTTCATAAACATCCATGCCAAACTAGTGTGATGTGATGGACAACAATATTAGAACACTTTTTTAGAAAAATTCATCAAAAATTAATTTAATTAACTCTTTAATGTCCCAAAACTAACCACAACAGACTAGAATGGTTAAAAAACTGGGTATTCATAGAATAATTGAGTTGGGAGGTCCTATAAGGACATCAAGTCCCAACCTGCTGCTGAGGGCAAGAATCCAAATCAAAGTAGATCTGACATATGATTGTCCAATTTTTTCTTGAATGCCTCTGGGTATTCATATAGACTCCTAAGCCACTCAGCTATCCAGCCAGCACAGTAGAGATACAGGGTGAATGTCAAAGGTAGATGATGAAGTAGGTGTGGAGAGAACCAGAGAGGCTTAGGAAAATAGAACAGGATGAATGAGAATAGCTTGAAGAGAGACTGGTTGAGTGGGATGGTAGGGGAATAAAAAAACAGGGTGATAGAGGAAATAAGGAAAGGAAAGTACATGTGTAGGTACTGAGGAGTTCCAGTGGAAAGTCATGACATCTGTAGTTCCTGTACCAATTAAGCACTGGCATTCATATAGTTTTTTAAGGGATTTGGCCAGTACAGTAAGACATAAGCCTACAAGAGTTTGTTCTTTCAAATAATTACTGTTTCCTTATTCCAAGATGTTATGAATAAACACACTCTTACCTTCTTTGCTGTATGTGTACTTAAAATAGAATTCCACTCTTTATCATGGGTCATGTGAAAAATTTTTACTAGTGGAAGGCAAAGATGTGAATCTAAACAGAGACACCCACCTAAACTGAGTACTTAAACTGGGGATTTCTAGAAAATCCTTAGAGAGAAAAAATGCATTTCTGCCTACAACCATAAGTGGCATTGTGACTCATATCATATTGTGATGCGGGATATCTTGCAGGTTTGTGTAGTAAAACTAGCTGACTGTAATTCAGGGTAATCCTGAAGCAACGTTCGTTTATTGAACTGTCCTCATATTGATAACAGGCTGCTTTAGGATCAATAGGATGCATCAAATTGTCTATTGGCTTGAAAGAGAAATATCTTATTTCAAATCTAACAGTGTTTAGCAAGCATCCATTAGGTGGCAGTATGTTATAGTAGGTAGAGTGTTAGACTCAGAAGACCTCAGTTCAAATCCCTACTATATCACGGAAAGTCATAGCAGGAGTGGTGCTCTCAGAAGACCTCAGTTCAAATCCCTACTACTGTATATCATGGAAAGTCACAGCAGGAGTGGTGCTGTGGTAAACCACTCCTTGACTATCTCACATATCTTGAAAACTATAAGGATTGCCATAAATCAGAAACAACTCAATGGCATATAGCAACAATAACATCTTAAAGATCCCACTTTGGACTGGAGAATAAATGAGAAAAATTGTAAAATGCTTTGTATATTGCAAAAATAAGTTACAGGTACTTCATTTTTTGCAGCAAGATTTAAGATTGAAGTGTAATTAGCCTCGGGCCCTCACTCATTTGTGCTTTTTAAAAATGTTCTTTATGTGATCTGAAGATTCCGAGCCAGTAATTCCCTGTCTAAGATTCTGGAGATCACCCAGGATCTAAAATAGTGAAAAATTCAAGAAGACTATGTAGGCATTCAAAATTATCTGGAAGAATTTAACATTAATTGACTTCATCCAATCCAATAGTACCTGAATTAGTCTGTTGCCAAAAACCCACATGCTGGCAATACCTTTATAGTATATGTAATGTGTGCATTTATGAGCAACAGTCTACAGGACTGAGAATTCTAAAGCTCAAGGCCCTTGTGGACTGATGAAAGGTGAGTTTGGATCTTATTGCTAAATTCACCCTGATACAAAAAAACAGAGTGTTATAAGCATTTCAACTTGACTTGAAATAAAGAGAGAAGTATATTGCAAAGATTACTTTTTGGTCTTTCATTGTATTCAGTGTCATCAGGTTAGTCAGATTCTCAGCAAGACTTCATGCTGTGTGCATATATGAGCAACAGTTTGAGGGACTGAGACATGGTACAAGGTCCTTGTGGATTGATGAGAAATAGGTTTGAATCTCACAATAATACTTTCATCTCTTTTGCTGAAATATATATTTCTCTCTCTCTCTCTCTCTCTCTCTCTCTATCTATCTATATATGGAGAGAGAGAGAGAAGAAAAAAAATATGCATTTAAATTGTGTACTATATGAAATATGCCTCTAAGAGTACACATTTAATAGACCACTTGAGGCAGGGATTTCTTATCTTACATTCATGAGAGTACCCAATATTTTTAAAATATCAACTAAGATATAAATAATGTTCACGGCTTGGATTAGATCAAACCTGAACCAACATTTTATTTACTGTACTTGCAAATCAAAGCACCTTATCCAAGTTTTGGTATTAACTATCTGACAAAGGAAAATTTCTTTGAACGTCTTCTCTTGTCTAGAGAAAAAAGTTCTCTTGTCAGTTAAAAAGTTCATACTAAAGTAAAAATGTGTCAAAATCAAATTACTGACTTTTATTTAGGTAGATCGGGACAATAACAAGACAGATCTGAAATGTCTTCAACAAGCGGGGGCAAGTGGGGTACAAAGCCTTCAACCAGTTGCCCTTCTCACTATCACCCCACATTTCCATGCTGTTACAGTGGTAATGATAAGGATGTGAAAGGGGATAAGGTGACATACAACTCCTTGTAGCACCAAGTCTCTCAAAGTGAGGGGTAATGTCACATTTGTGGTGAAGGATTCGTAACAGGACAAAAAATAAAGGTTACCACTTTCAGTGGTCAACAAATTTTGAACTGCTTTATGACTTCAGACTAATTAGTTGGTGGGGAAATGTTAACAATGCCTGCAAATGCTTACTCAGCTGTAAGGCCATAGACCAAGTTCCAGCAGAGTACTTTGGTGTCCAGAATCAGTGGAAACCTGCTTCTTCTATACCTCCTATTGCAGCATCCTGAAATGCCCAAAAATCTTTCTCCAGAGGGTCTTGGTGTGTTCTCAGAGCAGGTTTTTAAAGTGGAGAGCAGGCTGCAGGAGGGAAAGGTCCTCAAGTTGGTCGGGGAATTATGGGAGTTGTCAAAAAAAAAAAAGGTGTCCAAACTTCATGTAAGCCCTATTGAGATAAATGGGATTTATTTCTGGGTAAGCAACTATAGGAATGAAGCCTAAATTAAGATCTAAACGTTGTTCGAAACTACTGTAGCAGCAAAACGATAAATAAAAGCTCTGTGGTATGAATAAAGCAAGGGGGCAGAAACAAATGAGAGGTCAGCTTTGATGTTACATGCTGATCAAACATTATTGCTTCAGAGAAACATTGTTCATATTCATCCAGTCAAAGTGTGGGTTTACTTCCCAGTGACCAATCACCAAAGAGAAAGCAAGCTAATTTGCTAATTGTGTTCACATCTCATTTCTTTCTGAAGGGAGCTCCACTGCTACTTGCAAAACAGCTGTTTGGGCTCCTAAGCACAATGATCTGATCAGAGCCAATGCCAGGGCCAGGCTTTGAAGAAGCCTTTGGCCAGATGGACTTGATGCCTAACCCCGCCCTCCTTTTTATGAACACTGCTGCTATCTACTATTGCACATCTTCCTCTTCCTGGAAGAGGCCTCCTCAAAAACCTCTGTAGGCTGAATTCTGGTTGTCAAAAAACCATATTAGATCCGTGGGTCAGAGATTCACTTCCCCAGCATGAAAGGCAGCTGCCAGAGTCTCCAGCTGCATCAAAGGTTAGTAAATACATCACTGAAGAAGCTAGAGTGCACTTTGTCAGATGAATAATGTGTTCATTTTCGTGAGTAAATTATGTTTATCAACCCTGAGGTCAGAATAAAGGAAAGACAGCAAGAGCCCCAAAGCCAAGAAATGCATAAGAAATAATTAGACTACACTACATTTTTACTGCTGCCTGTTACACAGCTTTGTTTCCAGACCTCACTGTATAATTTTTAAAATCTGTATGAAGTAGCTGCCACACCTATAGATGGTCCCTTCCTAATTTAATAAAATGAACTAAAACCCTTGTACCAAATCAGATTTGTTAACTTCCAACCTTTGTTGCTCAATTTGCTGGGGATGGGGCAGGCATGTTAGTTTGTTGCAGCAAAAAATGCATTTATTGAAGTGGACTGTTGTTCATGAAAATGTATGGTGAATAAAATTGTATTAGTTTCCAAGGTGCTGCAGGATTATTGTTTTTTCTAATCAGAGTTCCTCACAGTTCTTTTCTAGGTCAGCTACAATGTTCTTCACTGGTCTTCATCGGAAACAGTAGTCAGGGGCCGTATCATGGAGATGAATAACTGCAAGGCATGATTCTGATTCAGTGTGGCACTTGTGCATATAGAATAGGCCTTGGAAAGTAGATAGTGGGGATTACTATTCCAGGATGTCACACCTCTGGCTTTGGATATGCTGCTGGACAAATACAGAAATGTAAAGTAAAGTAACCATGGAGTAATTGCTATAACCTATTACAAGCTCCCATAAACACCCCTCTTTCCACCCATTTGTGTCTCCCTATCTGCCAAAATATTTACTAGAATGTCTCCCAACAATACTGCAATATAATTGCCCATAATGTAGTGGCAGTAATTTGCATCATTGTTTCTAGCATTTGAGCACTGGCACAACAAAATTTTGGGGTATAGCTGTAAAAGATCAATCAGCAGATAACTAATAGTGATTTAATTGGTAGGTATTGGTGGAATCTCATCCATTTCAATGATTCACCTTTTAAAAGGCATGCTGAAACCTGGACAATCTATTAAGGGCAACAACAAAAACAAGCTAGAAGCTAGACTTCAAGGCTAAAACACTATGCCTGTTTTTTTCCAGTTGCTTTCACCTACACATAGCACAGTTTGCTGCCAAATTGATGTGACAGAAATTTAAATGGATTACAGTGTAAATTAGAACCTAGTAAAAGTGCATTAATGGTGACTGTTAACATGAGTTCAGAACAAATACTGTAGGTGGAATTTTGACTACAAATCTGCTTTTCATTCTAACTGAACATGTTTTGTGTTTTCTTTCCCCGAACAGCATTTGTGAAGGCTGACCAACTGATGGAGATTTCACTAGCACAATGTGTTAGATGAGGCTGGCTTGGAGCTTATTATGGGTTATTTGAACAACCCCCATCACCCAGTATCCCATAAGTGAAAGATCTTTAATACACACAAATATGAGTGCATGTGTGAGTGGGTGATTGAGAGACAAGGAAGGAATAACATGGTGAGATAATCCCGTGCTCCTGTGGGAGATTGTGAATATTCTAATTGTGGGATAGGACTCTTTATGTCAGTGTTTCTGACTTACCTAGCCTCTTCCATTAGGAGTACCAAGCTGTGACATTTTGCTGCCTGGGGTGGAGTAACAAACAGTGTGCCCACCCACCCATGGAACTTAATTAAGGTGTCTAGAGTGCTTGAAGCCAGCCATGTTGTTTTGGCACACCAGGTAGAAAAGCTCTTCAACTCTTTCCTCCTTCTTCAACTATGTAAGTAGTTTTTCCTGATGTAAAACTGTATCCATAAGGCTCCGGATAAGATAATAGAAAAGGGCCATGGCTCCTATATAAACAATGAGTGTGTAAAGGGGCCCATCTTGTCCAACCCACACAAAATAATTCCAGTAGATTGTTTGAATGATCTGAGAATTGCCAGTTGGATCAAGTTGAAACACCAGTGAAAGCGATGGGCGGTCATTGAGTTTTCCTCCCCCTTGTCTCCTCATAGCCCTCCAAGCTCCCAACCTTCCCCATTCACCTCAAGGTTGTAGGAGCCTTGCTGAATAAGTTGGGTGGCAGTGCTAAGGGGTAAGCTGAAGGGAAAAGTAGTTTCACCC